TGAATTTCATAAGCAGTCTTCACAGACAGGTTACGAAAGCACATTGACAAGAACAAAGACAAAATGTGAACTCATTTTAAAATGATGATCCTATATAAGATTTAAAATGACACTAGCTGTACACTAGTTAAGAGTAATGTGGCACTGCTCTGAGATACATAAAATATATCTGCTAGTTTACCTGGTGGTTTTGGACAGTAACACAGATCTTTGAGTCTTGGGGAATTCTCTCAGCGCTGAAAGACTGGACTATTGAGGAGCACACCTAACAAATAAACCATATTACACAACAATTAGCTTTGTTCGGTTTTATGAGTGTGTCACTGGATCATTCATTCAACCGATTTGTTCAAAAACACTGATTCATTCAGAAACGAAACAAGTGACGCTTCTCAGTTGGAAGGCTGCATCCTTGTGAGGCTACGTACTTCCTAGACCAGTCCTTCTGAAGCGTCTAAGCTTGAGACCTCCTCAGCATTGAATGCTAGAATGAGACAGTCTAGTAAGTCTGCATGGCTACGTCATAAAAGGTTTCCACCCCCACAGTCACAACACAAAATACGAAAAATGAAAATTAATTTATATTAAAACTCTTTATATTAACTAACTTTCTATTAATGCAGTACAGTGAATGGCAACTGTTGGTGGTCACACATTGGTTTATCTGATGTAAAGATTAGCATTATGTAATGAATCTACAACAAAACAACAGAAAACATAATGCTTTCTTCTCCAAAAACATTGTCACGCTGTGCCTACTGTGTCGGAGCGAGGATACAAAGGAGAATCCAGAATAATAACAGAATTTATTTACACAAAGGAAACTACACGTAGGACACGGGGAATGACGATTCAATACCGGACAAAGAACTCTGAACAAAACACTCCTTAAGTACACAACTTAATCAGGGGAAGATGAGACACACCTGGAATCAAATTGGAAACAACCATGGAGCAGGAACAGGAAGACCAAATAAGGGAATAGGAAAACACAAGGGAAAACTAGATCTAAAGGCACACGGGACACGTAGGAAACTGAACAAAACACACAGAAAAGTCCATGGCGTGACACTTGCATTACATAATGAAATTGGACAAGCTCAGTGCAGATTAATTTTTGCTAATTTTCATGTTTGGTTACCACTGTCTTTCTTTGTTTAAACAACACTGATTCATTCAGGAACGAAACAAGCGACCATCTTTATGAGTGAGTCACTGAATAATTCACTCAGCTAATTCATTCAAACAGTCCTGATATGTTCAGAAAAGAAAAGTGATTGTATTTATGAGTGAGTCATTGAATCACTCACTCAACCATTCAAACAACTGAGTCGTTCAGGAACACTACTACTGTGTTTTGATTCTGGTTTGGTTTTGTTTGGAATTATTTTCAAAAATAGACCAAAGCAAATGGCAATATTGTGTCTAAGATGTAAATGCGTACTTTTATAACATTGTTTATTGAACTGTTGTGTAAAAATACATTTAAGCATTGCCGCGTATGGCCCTAACATTTACATTAAATTTCAATTAGCAAAGCTTGCCAGTGAATTCACATACTCTGATTAACTAACTTAAGTTTAATTCTTGGATAAAAGACTTGGGTGACTCTACCATTACAGTCTATATACTGTAATATAGCCTATGAACACAATCATTACACAGTGTGTCGATAAATTTCAGACTCACGTATGGCTGCTGTGGCTGGAAACCCAGAGTAAGGACATGAATGACCTTTTTGTTTCCATGGACAAGAACCTTTGACTCTAAAGTATAAACCTTCTGATGTAGATGACTTGTGAATGTCTCCTGGAGGATGAGACTCTGAGGGAGAAACGTGAATGGTTGTCTGTTGGAAGAAGCAAACATAACTAAATACACTTGTGGGTATAGAGTAATACAGCACTGTGGATAAATTCAGTGATATGTTCCTACTGCTGTCATCATTATCATTACTTCGTCCTTTTCATATTCCAGACAGACCTGAAGTTTAGCTTCCATCTTTTCTGATAAATTTTCTTTTCCTTCCGTATCTCTTCTATGGCACCCTCCATCTGTAGCTCCGCATAAGGGTTTTTTAGATCCGATAGGGTCATTGCCATCATCAAAAGCCTCTTCTTTAGCTTCTGCTTAGACAGAAAAAAAAACAATACAGTCCAGAATGGCTAACGTTCATACAAACATGTAAAGATTCGGACTAGTACACATTTTGGACATATTTAAACTGCAATAGCAGGAAAACTCATTTTCTGGTACCTTAGCCAGAGTACTGAGAACCGCAGAAATATTGAGGTCCTGCTTGCCATAGCCTGCACTTATTTCCAGAGTCTTCACTTGCTTGCCATTGACTACAGATATTTGCCCGTGCAAAGCTGGTGTCCAGGCTGTGCTGATGGAGCATGAAGCTTTAACTCCACGCTTGCCCAGCATGTTCCATCCACCAACCTTCAACAACACCAAGATCAGCACTTATCCTGAAGTTCCTCCAGAAAGACCATATGAACATTTCTGAGAGAAATACTCAAAAACTCTGAGTGAGAAGTGATAGAAAGTATGCACACCTTAATATAACTGGCAGTCGGTGTGAAAAGGTGCAGCTGGCCTTGTCGTTCTTTGCCTCTATGCTTGTAGAAAACCTCTAGCTTAACACTTCGCATGTTCACCAGTTTCCGTGTGGTGACCTCAGAGCTGAAATGCGTGATGCCACGCTGGGGCTGAGTTAGTTTTTGAGCTATGTACACATAGAGCCAGGGGGTATCCATGTTAAATGACCCTGTGGACATAATGAATGGCAAGCATAGTTTTACATGAACTAGAATATTAACATGAACTGTATAAATTCATGGCACTCTCTCAAATGGGCCATTTCCAATGAAACCTATAGAGTGCACTGCTATCAAATTCAGGACAACAAACAGATCATTATTATTAGATTATAGCTAATAACTGATAAATGGCAGACATTAAATTCAATACTGTTTTGTTCAAATCAAAGCCCCCCCACCCCATATAGGCTGAGGTATATCTGGTATTTCTGCTGTAATTATGACAAAGCTGCTTGTTTTCAAATTTTATTAACAGAAATTGATTTACCATGATTTTTTTTTTTTTTTCAAAATGTCATTCCACATATTCAGGAACTGTATGTTCTTCAATAAAAAAATTTTATTGAGAGGGGAAAAATAAATATGATTCATGTTTTGATGTTGATTTTGTGTTATAGTTTAATATATTAATAATATTGTTTTAAATAGTCACCCTGCGCCCCCTTTGTTAGTTTGCTGAGGCACCCTATTGGGCCCCCAGCCCCCTGGTTGAGAATCACTGGTCTAAATAAAGTAAAACTAAAACATTAAAAGCTATTTTCAATCACTTTAAATGTTACAAGTGAATTTAGGCATTACTAAATTATAATGTACATTATTATATGGATATTTTGAGATTTCCTAAAGACTACATTTAAAAGTGTTATTCAATATTAGTATTTAGTTTAACTAGATTAACTTTAGGTGAGCTTTAGATGACTGTACATGTAAAAAAATAAAATAAAAAATGGAAATGAACATGCACAGTTAAAAATCCAATGTCTACCAATATGATCAATAAACAAAATCGGTAATATTGGCAGGTAATAGATATGGTACCATTATATTGTCTAGATCTCTAAAATCTACAATTTCACAAATGGATGAAGGATTCTGGTTGGTGACCATCAAGGGAATATATACTTACACACCTTCCCACTTTTGAAGGGAGGTCTTTGTTGACACGTCCTTCCAGTGGACGCCAGCTACCAGAGGCATCTGATTGTTGTAGTTGATTTTCAGGTGGGTGCTGCTCTCAGATTTGTGTTTCTTGAAATAAGAGTGCAGAAGCTGAGTTCTGTAATTCAGTCCTCGGTCTAGAAGTCGCAGGTTGAGCTGGAAGAGGCAGTATACATTATTACGGGTCATAATCATAATCAACACCACAGCCTGAACATCTGACAATGAGAACACATTTGATGTACACAGTCAAGATTCAATCTGAATGTTTTAGTAAAGCAAAACCTCCACAGCATAACTGGTGAGGCCGGGTTCAGACTGGTTTCTGAGGGACTGATTGAAGAGGACCCTGTGTTTGTTGCTGCTCTGGTTCCACTGCTTTCCATAGCTTACATCAAGAGATGACTGGACGTGGATTGGGCTCCGTTCATGTTTAAGGTGAATCTATTGGTGGAAACAATCCACTAATCAGAAGGTTGCCATATCTGTTATCATGAACTGTATTATATGCATTGCAAGAAACCAAAAGGGAATCAGTACTAGAATTAATTGCAGAAAGCTTTTTAAACCTGTGAAACCAAATAGTACATTTCTATTTGCGAGACAATAAATTTGACCTTGTGGTTTAGGTTGATGACATGGGAACAGTGGAGTTCATGTGCTGCTGTTATACGGTACATCTGGACTGGTTCAGACTCGCTGTGGAGCTTCTGCGTCATGTGGCACTCCTGCATATTCTGTGAATCCTCTGGAAAATAAATAAGTGAATGAAGAGTCTGTTGTGTTGTTGTCTTAAAAGTGTTGTGTTATTTGTTGAAATCACTTACCTTGTACACCATACCTGATCCTCACAGCAGAGCTCCACTCTGGGCCCCTTTGCTTCAGTAACCCAAGAGCTCTGATGCTGACAGCACTAGGCAAAAGAAACCCGGCATCTATAGAATAAAGTCTCTGGCTATCATCCAGACTTCTCTCCAGCTGCACTGTGAAGTGAAGCAGAACAAAAAGAGCTGGCCGCAAATCACATCACTGTTCCAGAGAAATAACAACTATAGAGCACAACTTTACAGTTCTGGAAATAAAAATCCCATTCTTTTTGTCTAAAGAGACATTGAGTTTTAAGATGAAAATCTTTTAATCTACCACAACCTTCATTTTCAAGTGATGAAAAATGCTTTTGTGGAGGAAACAAATTAGCGATTTCAACTTCTTTTTTTTAATTTTTTGAAATTATGTTTAATAGTCAAACTGAAGCACTGAAGCTAACACAAATACAATTTGAAAAATCTTGAAAAACCTTTTTCAAATTTTTGTGAAAAATTATATTATGATATTTTGTGGAAAAAAAACTGTATGTGATGGAAAGTATTGATTTTTTTTTATTCAGCATCATCAAATGCAATATTATTTTTCAAGATGCAGGGCTGTGTAATCACTTAATAAATATCAGACATTTTATGTTGTACAAATGAGCAATATCACACAAGTAGCAATGCTTGGAGGTGAGATGTCCGCGGGTAAAAACATGAACGTAGCTTTATAATAGCAAATAGCAAGTAGCTTTATAATAGCAAATTAAGTTTTGCTTTTGATGAAATGAGACACTGACACTGTTTTTCATGTTTAATACTGCTGCTTGCTTTTAAGCTATATATTGAATAAAGTGCCATGTAAATACACGTGACGTGACTTCACGGGAGTGCTAATTTGCAGAGCTTGTGCAATACCCATGTTGCTATGAACAGATGCTTTTTTATAAAAAATGCTTGCTGTTTTCTCAATTTTTGTTATGTTTCTTTTATTACTGAGAGGAAAACGTGCAGCACATATTTACATATTCATTTAAACGTCGCTTTCATCAGAGTGGGCGGCGTCGGGATGTTCGATAACAGTATACCGCTGCTGACGTATTTCGAACTTCATTTTACCCCTAAATGAAGAACGAAAAAGAACTTAGTTTTGAGTATATCGGGGCCTTAATAGCGAAATAATGTAACTAAATTCACCTTCGCAAACACGCACGCCGTTTCTCAATACTAAATACTATTATAATTACTACTATTAATTATATAAAATATTATTTATTGAATAATAGTATTTAATAAACAACAACAGCCATCGTAAAAGTTGCTAGGCAATTTAGGTCAAAAGTACAAAGGCAGCGCTGAACGGCCGCTGACGCTCTGGAGCTCACATCTCCGAAAACGTCGAAGGAAATTTTTAAATACCTAGATGTTATCTTTATTAACAAACCACTAATTGAATTTTAAACAACTACATTCTCAGGTACAAACTCTTAAAACTACATTCCGTGACACAAAAACAGTATTATTTATACAATTATAGTGGAATTGGGCATCCGCTATGACACTCGCTGTGAGAAATACTGCAAGCAAGTGATACAAACGGTAAAACAGTTGGAGTTCTGTTATCACTAGAATATCACACGGCTGGAAAAGGCTCTCAGCCAATCAAATTCGAGGACCAGAAAGAACTGTTGAATAAATTCAGTTACGTCATTTACAATGCATTGTAGGATGATTAGCTCAGATCATATGCTTTATTCCTTCAAATTCAAAGTTTGTAATGTTGTGAATCATCTCAGAGCTAGTTGGTTTGGTTAACATCTAAGAACCCTACATTGACGAATCTTTTGAAATCCCTAATGAATGAAAAATGAGAAAGTGAATGAAACAAACACTTATGGAACCGTTCAAAAGTATTAGCAAATTCTTGCCTGAGAGCGATGCATCCTTACTGAAGACATTTTTAAGCAAGGCCTGTATTATGAACTTCCTGCTGCGAGCATGTGTGGTGTTGACTGAGAGGGAGAATGGATGCCCATCTGCTACTACTTTGGCATCAAGATGAACGTGGGCTCTCGTCTCTGAAGCAAGATTCACTGTCTCCAGTAGTCCCTTGGGCACAATGGGGAATGATTTAATGAACCATGTTCTTAATTAAGACAAGATTCTTGAATAAATCAGCATAACAGCTTTTAATGAGACTTTGAAATTGATAAAAGCAAATGTTCCTCTCACTTACCTTGATAAAATAATGGTGGATGTTGTCTATCAGTAGTTCGATTCTGCCTGAATGTTGGTTGTTTATTTCTTCAAGCTGCGCTGTGATAAAAAAAGATGGGAAAATATCCTAAACATTCAAAGAAACAAAGTTATGTAAGTACAGTTGTTTTGTGTTCTAGTTTGAAATCAGCCTTGAAATATTCATTAGGAAATCCATTTTTGAAGTGCTTTTGAAACCTTGAATGTGAATGGTTTTTAGGGGATGTGTTATTTTCAGAATCAGCCTTTTTGGACTGAGATTGACATCTAGGGACACATGTCTGGGGATAGTGGACTGCGGTGTGCCAAGAAAGAGAAGCAGAGTGGCTTCCAGTGGCATCCAGGAATTACGCTGTCAAAGATCCACAAGAAGCACAGAAAGAACAATTTAATGAGGAGTTTATTTTGACCTTCTTAACTTGAATGGACAGATGTCAGATATCTTCCCTACCTGGGGTACAAAAGTATAGGCTGCCTCCAAGAGGTACTGGTTGAGATCAGTGTCTAGTTTTTGGAGTCTGAGAGTAAAAAGAACGGGGTCCAGTGGTGGGAAGCCTTTTCCCATCAGTGTCAAAGGATAAATGATATCAGAGCATAACTGCCATCCAACCATCTTAGACCCTGACAAAATAACCATTCAAATATGTCAAATACGCCAAATACACCTTTTATGTCTTTCCACAAAGAAAAATGTTAAGAAACATATAACGTTTGTTGTTTTAAATACACTCACATGCTTTAGGAGTGCAAGTGTTCTTCTCCTTGAGATTTCTTGTAGCTATGAGCTCCTCTTTACTTTCCCCACTCACACGATACATTCTGGAGCTGTTTCGAATAGACGATCAAGCGATTTTAGTCAAGATAAAACAACTGTTTATAGGTCAGTGACAAATAAAAGTGTCTACAATTAAGAAAAGGAAAAATCTTTAAGAATATATAGTTTAAAACATGTGCCAATGTATTCTTTGTATTAAAGTTGGTTTCATATGGTTTTGAAAAGCTTTTATATGTCTTTTAAGAATAAAATTGAATGACACTAAAATGTTCTGTGGTGTAACCATCATGTAAGTAATAACATGTTGTTACATATTAAATACATGTAAGTGTACACATCGTAATCATTATTTTCAAAATGTACATTTTTTTTTTTTACAAATTTCAAGAATAAGTATTCTTAAATTCATGAGCAGATTCAAGTTTTTAGGGAGTCACACCACATGACATTTTACAACCCAAACTAACCTTGTTTTGTCATAAAAAGTAACAACTTGACATAACAGTTGTTAGGGTCTTCTCTATGATATAATTTCCTGTTTCTGAATTGTAGTCACACCACATTACTTTTTGAGGACAAACATTTTTCAAATATTAATAAACATCAGTTTTGTTGCAATATGCATGTCAAATCGATTAATCGTGATTAATCGATTTGACAGCACTAATATATATATATATATATATATATATAAAAAATAATTTATATATTCAAAAGATAATGTAAATATTTTTCATACTTGAAGGTCAGTACATCCATGACATCTTCTGGAGTATTGAGAACCACCTTCAGGCTCTGGCCATGATGCAGATATACAGCTCCATCCAAGCTGGTGAAGGTTTTGAGTTGAGTGACCCACTCTAATCCCACACGACCAAACGCTCCATCCACTCCAGCTCTCACGGAGATAGCAACCAATGCACTGTGCAAAAGGAGAAACAGGAGTTGACTTGCCATCATAACTTCAACCTGACAGCACACTGCCATTTTCAAAACTTCATGAGACATACTTTGGTTTGACATAGCCAGCCAGTGAGAAATGTGACCAATTCTTATAGTTAGCAATGCCTTTAATTCTGAGGGAGAACAAAGTGGACATGTTGATGCTTAGCCTCATGGGTAATCCAGAGAGAGATGGCAAAATCAGCTCCTCTGCCAGAACAATAGGCCTCTGACTGATTTTAATCTCTTGACCCTAGGAAAAGGAAATAAATTAAAATTATTACAGTATTTAAAACAAAATATACTATAGACGTACCAATATTAAAATTTTGGCTTATATGATAAGGTGACAATTATTAAATCAGCTTAAAAGGAACATTCAGGGTTTATTACAAGTTAAGCTCATTCGACAGCATTTAAGGCATAATGTTATTAACCACATTATATCACATTATCTCCTTAGAAAAAAAGCAAACATCAAGGTGTATTGATTTAAAAGCAGAAATGTGAAGCTTATCATTCTATGAAAGCACTTACATTTATTCTTTTGTTTAAACTTGTGTTGTATTTGAGTTGTAAATCATTTTTAGTCACTTTGGGGTTTTAGGTATTATATTATCATGACGCTGAAGTTATAAAATTGGTTGTACCTTTACACAGACAAGGTTATTAAGTGTTTTTTTTTTTTTAAAACTTAAATCATGTTTACATGCATACTGTTCACATATTGTAACTATAATATTAAAAAAGTAAGGGTAACACTTCATTTTAGGGACCAATTCTCACTAGTCGCTTATTAGCATGCATATTGGCTGATTATTAGTACTTATAGGCACATATTAATGCCTTATTTATATTTTAGATCCCTTAATCCAACCCCATACCTAAACTTAACAGCTACCTTCCTAACTATTAATAAGCAGCAAATTAGGAGTTTCTTGAGGCAAAAGTCATAGTTAATAGTGAGAATTTGACCTTAAATGGTGACCAAAGTGAGTATTGAACCCAGAATGCTCCTTTAAGTAACAGCTTGAGAAAGAATTTCTTACCTTTAACAACTTGACAACAACACCAGCTGTACTAAGTGACAGCTTTCTCTGATATGCATAGAGATCATCACAGGTCATAAAGGTGAGGTCGTTGCCGAACATCTTCACATTCATCCAACATCGGAACCTACTATCTCTTTTCCTCTGCTCTGTGAACTTAAATAGAAATATTGGTCATGCCGGATGTGGAGCCAAATAACAGACACAAACCCACAATCTGCAAGACTCTCACCTTAGTCTTGATGGAACTCAAACCTGTGGACTGACAGCCATCACTGCCTCCTTGTTCCTCATCTCTGTTTCGTCCTTTCTGTTCATGTCTCATAGAGTCTGTTCGACCCTTAGGTCTGGAGAGTTCAGCTGATGCTAGAGGATGCTCCTCAAAGATTTTCTTCAGAACAGGCTCTAGGTTTTCCATTCTTAGGCTAATCTAAATAATCGATGAAAATAATTACTATCATTGAACAAAAATATATGCTACTTAAAAACTAAAATAGCTATATGTTATTTTTTTTTTTTTGGATAACATTAACCAATTTCTCACATGGCCTAGACAAGTGGTTAGGGGTACTAATTTAACTTCTGTAATGGTATATATTTTTGACTTAAAAAAATATATATACAGAAAAAGACCAGATTTTATCTTTTGGTTATTGGCATTATATGGGAAAGGCTACATTACTGACTCAAAAAAACAAAACAAAAAAAAAAAACATATGTGACCCTGGACCACAAAACCAGTCTCATAGCAATAGCCAAAAATACATTGTATGTGTCAAAATTATTGATTTTTCTTTTATGCCAAAAATCATTAGGACATTAAGTAAAGATCATGTTCCATGAAGATATTTTGCAAATTTCCTACTGTAAATATATCAAAACTTAATTTTTGATTAGTAATATGCATTGTTAAGAACTTCATTTGGACAACTTTAAAGGCGATTTTCTCAATATTTAGATTTTTTTTGCACCCTCAGATTAAAAAAAAAATTAAGATTTGAAAAATGTACCCTTATGACTGGTTTTGTGGTTCAGGGTCAGATATTACAATAGCTATTTGTGTTTTGGCTACCATTAACTATATGCCTGCACAGCCTAAATTTAGGGGTCTTCAAACATTTGGTTCCAGTTTTTGATGCCCATGATTAACATGATTATCCCCTTACAAGGGACCAATTTTTAAATTAAAGGCAGCTATAAATATTTTCCATGTTTAAAACCCCATTTATATGGTGACAAATATAATTGCTTTAAATATGCATTCAAATAAGCAAATATGTATTTTAAAATAATATTTGGATCTTTTAATATATTTGGTCTTGTAAATTATTATTAGTTATTTTCTATTTTCTATTTAATTTTTTCTCTATTTTTCTATTTTTCTACAGATCCCTCATGGAAATATGCGTGTTTCTGGACTACAGTTTGAAAACCCTCACCTAGTTGTACTCGAACAAAAAAATAATTTCAGATGTAAAGCAAGTAATTACATTATGATGAAAGATTATGAAGACAAACTTATTTTTATTGGAATAGTGTTCACTGATGAACAATAAGACTAGGAACAGTACAGCAAACAGTTTCAATTTAGATTAGTTTTGTGGAAAATACAAACAGATGTTGAACAAATTGGATTTTCACCTCCAGAAGATTGAATGCTCTGCCTAGGACGTGAACTGTCAGATTTGCCATAGCATAACGTGGAACAAAAGATTCAGGGGAGAAAACTAAAGCTCCCTCGATGTTAGCAGCAGCCACTCCTGGAGCAGACATACAATCCACACATTGCAAATGAGGGAAAACCAAAGTGTTACAAATAGAGCATTATTGGAAACAGATGGAAATGTTATATTATGTGTAGTACCTGTGTCCACTGTGTAGTCCATATGTGAGGAATATTTCCATGGTTCAGCTTCAAAGTCTTTACTTATGATATCATCTGGCAGTGACTCCATCAGGTCTTTTTTCAGAGGATCTTCTGTTTTCTGGATATTGAAAAGATGACTCCAAACAAACGACCCAACTGAGGAGATATCATAGAGAATGTATAAAAATGGGTCTCATTTTACAGCTGAAGAGTGTTAGAAATATGAAAGCTGAAAATATGCAACCTCTTCCATGCAGAACATATTTGGCTCATTCTAAGGAAATGGTGCCATTTGTGCTCCATGTGTGACTTACTACTGATGTAGCTATAATTGTTTTGCTCATTTATAAAAAAAAAATGAATAGGTTATTTAGACAAAAAAAAATCAAACTCAATTTTAATTTTATTTAAAATAAAAGTATCATGGTTTCACTGTAAATGCAGGCACTTTATGCTTTTTTGGATACATTTTTGTTTCATTATATTTATATTAAGCTCTTTTTAAGGCGGTCACGTTCGCTACTGTGAGGGAGCGTGGAGCGAGAAGACGAGGAGTACATCAACAAGGAGATTTTAATAACATCAAGAGAATCAGGAAAACACACGTAACTGAGGAGGTTGACATAAACAATACCAGACGACCAAACTAAGAACAGGGAACACTTTAAATACACATGACATGACAAGGGGATGACGAGAAACACCTGGAACTAATGAAACTAATCAGGGAACATAATGGGAACAGGAAACAGGAAGGACCAAATACGGGCATAAGAAAACACATGGGAAAACCAGGACATGGAGTGCGTGGGGAGCAAAACACAAAACACAGAACAGAGTCTGACAAAGGCCATATTTTAATTAACATTTTTGCACTGACTTTCAAACCTCAACCCAATTTTGAAGGCTTGGTACTAAACAGGTTTTTGTTTTTTATTTCAGATATATTATATATGTAAAAAAAGTAATTCTACCAGAATTTACCCATTGAATATTTATCTATCCATATCAAAAGCATTTGATTTTCACACTTTCTCTGGCCGTGTTGAAATAATGTAGCAAATTTGAGTTAGTCATAATAAATAATATTCAATAACTCAATACCTTGACTAGACTTCTCAATGCTTAAAGTTGTCTTCACAATTGTGAAAATCTCCTGGTTTGGACAGTGCATGAGCTGCTGATATGCTGCGATTCTGACCTCCACATTCTCCTGCTGGCTTTGAAATGCCCGAGCAAGAGTTGTCCTCTGATAACATAAGAAAGAACATAATGCAAGAACATAAGTCATTCCATAATAGACATAACATCAATGCAAACGTATCAGCACACCACATGCATGTCCAGTGTTAATTGTATCGTAAATTGTTCGGTGATACTGACGTCATGATGGCATGGGATTCTCCTGAATGCTCGTACAGCTGCCAGCCGAAGCTCCAGTGGCACAGACTGATTCTGCACACAGCGGCTCAGTGTGGGGATGAGATCTGATGTAGCCGCTCCTGCATTCTCCACTGCTTTCAACACATGCAGCAGCTGCACAAGAGGTACAGAACAGTTTAAAGCCATATTTCAGGTTCAGTATGAGTCAAGCTCAAGTATTTGTGGCATTATGTTGACTATTAAAAAAAAATAAAGTTATTGTCTCCCAAAAGAAAGAATCGACTCTGAACAGCCTAAACGAGTCGTCAGCTGGGTAACACATTTGCATAATGACCGCCTTTGTTCTACGTTGGCCGGCCACGAACAACTTGACCCCGCTCTCAAACACTGTAGCTTGTTTGTGTGGCTAACATCATGTTGAGAAGATGCTCTGTCCTACACTGTGAAAGTAAATTCGTTTTATTTTCACTTCCAAAAGATGAGGCTGCAAATCATCAGTGGTTAAAATTCATTTTTCCACTGTAGCACAGCAGTACAATGCCAATCTTTTTTTGTGTTCCCGTCATTTTACTGACGACGGCTTCTCTAATCTCTGGGAGTTCAACGCGGGGTATACAAAGTGCTTGCTCTTGAAAGATGGCTCAGTACCCAGTTTATTTGGACCTGCTGGCTCAATTGAATCACAACCTGTAAGTATGATAAATAATAGATGTTAAAGGGCTCATATGATGTTGCTAAAAAGAACATTATTTTGTGCATTTGGTGTAATTAAATGTGGTTGTAAATACAACTTAACCACTGATTTCTAGTCGTGTCCTCTTTTGTAAGGCCAAACAAAGTAATTTCGCTTTCACAACGAAACACAGCGCCACACACTAGAGTGAGCGGCGGCCGGTGGGCTTGAGAACGACGCGGCAGGCTTGCGGCAACCACATGTGACGACCCCGGGCTGGACTCCGCTTTGTCCACAGTGAAAGCCGATCCGGTGATCAACAGCGTGAAGTTGATGTATTTCTCAGCGACCAGCACGGATCAGCTCCAGGGATGACGAACGGATATCGTCCTCTTTTGGAAGGCCAAACAAAGTAGTTTCGCTTTCACAACGAAACACACAGCACCTTCAAGACATGGCGGCGGCGGCGGCAACAACAATACTACAGCGAGAATAAAAGTTACACCTTCTTTCTTTGCGTGAACATTTGGGCAGCGTTATGCGAATCTTCCCACATAGTGACGTAGGTATGTGGGGGAGTGTTAGAACGAGCCATTTTAGGTAGGCGTGGTTGATTCTTAACTTTTATAAAGAATATCTCTTTGGATTTTAGACTTTAGTCTTTGCAACTTTACAGATCTTCTTTATGCACCAAGAGCTTGTAACACTCCAAAAAGAAAGGAAAAATTGAAATCGTATCATATGACCCCTTTAATATTTTCTATCAAGTGTTCAAAATACGGAACTGTATCAATGGGCATATCGTTTCCGACACGCTCTGTACGCAGTTGACCGATCACAACAGACTTGGCCATCTGACGAATCAGAGCAGAGTAGGCTCACGGAAAGGTGGGGTTTAGAGAGAGTGAATCTTAGAACTGCTTTAAACTAATCGTTTAAGAATCACAGGAAAATAAGGTGATATTAAATCTATATTTTGAGAAAATGAAAGCATTTTTTGACCTTGCAGCATGTAAACCTCTTGCAGGAGACTCCCAAAACAATATTAGGAACCTTAAAAATGGCATAATAGGGGCAGGGATTTCCAAACCTTTTGTCAGTCAAACCGCTTTGACCTAAAATATTTGATACTTGAAGTCCCCCTGAAACTTAGAGTTATTATTTCAATAATTTTACAACACATTTGCGTGTCGGTTAATGGTCATACATTTTATTATCTTTTTGTTTTTTAATCCCATTCAAATCTATAAACAAGTGAGATTAACAAGCAATCTAAACGTAATCCAAACGTAGTCAGAATACATTGCCTAAAATGAGTTGTCTTGATTTCATTACTGACAATTTTCAACATGTCATTTGTAATCAGTAACATACTACAATTTTGTAAGTAATCGACCCAGCACTGACTGTACCTCTGTGATCTGCAAATGATCATCCACTTCACATCCTGCATCAAGACTCTGATTCAGAACATGGACGAACTGTTGGACTTCAGAGATTTCGTTACATGGACCCTGTTCCTGTTGACAAAGACCATGGACCAGTGAAGACACAACCAGCAGTGCTTTTGGATGGATAAGAGGTATCTGCAGCAAAGCCTGAAGAAGAAAATACCAGCAAATCCACATATCACCTTGGTCACACTCTGTTTAAGAGACGACTTTCAATTTTGTATTATAATTCATTTAAATTAAGTTATTGAACAACTCAAAAACATACACTAAGGTGGCTAATCATGGATGAAGTAGGGTGGGAAGCAAAACTGATAGTATTGAGGAGAGGTAGGATTTGTTCGTGGTCCACTTCTTTGTTGAGTATGAGGTCTGTAGTGACAAGGATGCAATCCTCAGTTCCACAGGCTGACAGAGTATCTAGAAGGGGCTGCCTGTCATGACACCAAAATCAACATTACCATTGGAAAAAAACACAGAAATTAAAAACAATTGTTGTAATTGCTGTATAATTTAATTGAATAAAAATTTAAATCCTTTGATTCTCTCAAAAAAGTATTGCTTTCCACTGCAAAACATTGCGTTCTCTCAAAAACATTTGCGTTCCTCGAGAAACTTTGCATTCCCTTGCGAAACATTTACATTCCCTTGAGAAGTTTCGTGTTCTCTTGCAAAACATGTTTAGTCCCCCAAGAAACTTTGAGTTCACTCACAAAACACTAAATATGTTTTTTTCCCTTCCCCCTCATATTATTTCCATCACAAAAGTTTTTTGGGTGACCGCAAAACTATTGTAAGTGAGCACAAATGCATTGACATTTTTTTCCCCCTCCCATCTTATTAAAAAAAAATTAGAAATTATATTTGCACTTATAAAAAATAAATTTTTCTCATTGCAATTTAGCCCATCTGAATTTCTATTGTATTTCATTCTTAAAAAAAAAAAGAAAACGGGTCATATAATACTGTATTGTATAAATTACAATACAGTATAGTGCATAAATTAATTATAATAAGATTTTCAGCATTACAGTAATGATAAATATGGGTGAGGGATTAAAATGAGTGTCACAATGCAAAAACTTCATGGTCCCAAATAGAGGATTAAATGAGGCGATTTTTTTTCTTATACAATACTGTCACACTTCTACTGTCGGAACGAGGAGCGAGGAGACGCAGGAGTAACTCAATTTCACAAACTTCAATGAATGGTAACACACATGGAGATGACGTTTAACACAGGACCGAACAGTAAGTGACACCCCTTCTCCTCGTTTTTGTTTCCTTTTTTGAAAGTTTTGTTTTCCGTTTTTCCCCCTCCTGCGAAAATGGAAACTGCCGCAAGATTCGCTGCCCTAGCGAATTCCCTAATTCTGCGGGCCCTGATTCAGAACCAGCTCAGCGTCAAACCCGCCGGCCGCTGCAATCTCAAGCCCACCGGCCGCTCAGAAGTCGAGGCCAGCAGCTGCTGCACTCTCAAGCCCGCTGGCCGCTCCACTGTCAAGCCCGCCAGCCAATTCACTCCCAAGCCCTCAGCTGACAGCAGCAGTCTCCTTCACCTCTGCTCATAAAAGGAGAATGCGGAGGAAAAGACTGTTGGCTCCAGCCCCTGAGTCTGCTCCAGTGTCGGCTCCAGCCTCTGAATCCGCTCCAAAAAGGGCTCCAGTTCCCACGTCCAGCCCAAGGAGGGCTCCAGTTACCACGTCAAGCCCAGAGAGGGCTCCTGTTCCCACGTCCGGCCCAGAGAGGGCCGCTGTTCCCACGTCTGGCCCAGGGAGGGCCACAGTTCCCGAATCAAGCCTAGGGAGGGCCGCTGTTCCCACATCTGGCCAACAGAAGGTCTCAGAATCCGAAATTTTCCCCAAGGAATTTTTTGGGGGGCTATAGGGCTCCGGCCGTAGAGGCCGGGCCAAGTGCCGAGGCCAAGGCCATGGAGGCCGCTCCACCATGGCCCCCTGGACTTCCTGCTCCGCCATGGCTCTCTGTACTGTCTGCTCCGCCATGGCCCCCTGAACTGCCTGCTCCACCATGGCCTCCTGAACTGTCTGCTCTGCCATGACTCCCTAGTCTGCCTCCTCCGCCATGGCTCCCGAGCTGCCTGATCCGCCATGGTACCCGGATCCGATACCGCCTTGTAGGCTTCCTGTCCCGCTTGAGCCTGCCCTGAGGGGCCTCCAAGGCGCCCACCCCCTTTGTTGTTGGTATGTGGCACGAGGACGCGCCTTCAGGGAGGGGGGCGAAATGTCATGCCCAAGGACTGTCTTTGTGTGTTTTTCTCCCCATATGCTCCCTGTGACCTACAGTTCCTCCCTCGTGTTGATTTGTGTTCTTTGATTTCAGGTGTTCCGTCATTAGTTTCCATGGTTGTTGATTAATTACTCCACCTGTTTCAGTTCTCCCTGATTACGTTCCCTGTGTTTATAAGCCCAGTGTTTCCTGTGTCTTGCGTCCTGTGTTAAACGTCATCTCCGTGTGTTAGTTACCCTGTTCATTAAAGTTTGTGAAGTTGAGTTACTCCTGCGTCTCCTCGCTCCTCGTTCCAACAGTAGAAGTGTGGTTGGAAGTTTTTTGGAATATGTACCATGGTTTTATTACAGCATGCTATGACGTATATAAAGTATATATCATCAGTAAACATCTTCCAGCATTACGCTATTTTTAATGTATGTAATAAGTTTTGAAGGACCAACCAGTCATCTCGACATTTGAAGGAGGCCTCATGCCACAAGTCTCTCAACTGATGGGATGACAAGGTTCTCAACTGGAGCACCAGATTCAGGAGAAGCTCTGATTGCTAAGAGTGATGAAGTAAAGTGAGAGAAACTTACCATCTTGAATGAAAGAATCACTTTAATACTGTAAGCTGGCGCCTGACCTGTTGCTGATTTGCGAGATGAGCACACAACCTCCTCACTGTGTTGGAAACCTCTTGAACTGATGGTCCACCATGTCTGCCTGAGATTTGGCCTTCAGCCTCAAACACAATACTGGCCAAGTAACCGGCGTGCTGCCCTGAAATGACAGAGAAGATGATTACACTTTACATATATGTTTTATTATAGTTTTACATTTTAAAAGTTTTACATTTAGAGACCAGTCTTTTCTGATTTGTGTCTGTATGCATTCACCAGATAACTATTCAGATATTGCACACCAACTTAATCATCATTTCATAATACTTAAACAACAACAAAAAAAATGTATCACATTAAGGACATCATTTTTAGATTCCCAAATAGAGATCCATTGCACGTTATTATAGATTCAGATTGATGATTTGTGAAATTAATCATTTAGATCTCTGTTTGAACGAGTTTGAAAGATTCACATGAACCGAATGATCAAAAGAGTTGGCTAAAATGATTCATTCATGAATTGGATGTTACTATCACGCTTATATTTCTTGCAGACTTTTTTCACAGTTTGAAAACTCTATTAAATTTGATCCACAAAAGGGTCAAGAGAAGTGTATCTGAGTAAAAAGATTAATTCTTTTGTTAAAATGTAGTCAACATAAATATTTATACTCAATTAAAGTAGTAAATATAGCATTAAAAGAGTGACATGATCATACTGGATCGACAACATCAAAAGCTTAGTCATACCCAAATCCGATGGAATCACTTCAAGGGTTCTCAGGAGAGTCAGGCTTGAAATGGTTTTAGTTTCTGTTACTTCTAAGAGGCCTGGCAGTGGAACCAGTGACACTGTTTCTGTACAGTTGACCTTCTTCAGCATTGTTCCATCATAGAGCTGGATGCATGTGAGGCCGGCACTCACCGTCTAATCAACATAAAAAGCAACTCAAACTTAAGGCAATTCACATTGGGTCAGTTGTGTGAATGTTGGGTGAAGAATAGAAAAAGTGGGGCCCACCATGCCATCCTTCAGGGGGACAGAGTGCCTCCAAAACTGATCGATTCTGTCACTGAGGCACTGCTGGAGGCTTCGGCTCTTCACCAGCGACAGTCCCCTCTGTTCATAAGAACTCATACATGTCCCATACACATCATTCTGTAGAGAAATCATAATCTAGTGTCATTCATAGTATACTAATGCTCATACTTAGTAGAGTAGAGAGTTTGTTTTTTAATGTTTTTGAAAAAACGTCTCTTATGCTCACCAAGGCTACATTATTTGATCAAAAATACAGTAGTAATACTGTAAATTATTCGTCCGATTTAAAAGAACGGTTTTCTAAAATGTAATTTATTCCTGTGATGGCAAAGCAGAATTTTAAGCAGCCAGTACTCCAGTTCTTTCAGAAATCAATTTAATATGCAGATTTGGGGCTCAAGAAACATTTCTTATTATTATTAGTGTTGAAAACTGTTGTGCTGCTTAATATTTTTGTGGAAACATTTTTTTTTAGGATTCTTTGATTAAAGTTTATTTGAAATAGAATTCTTTCGTAACAATATAAATGTCACTTTTGATCAACTGAATGCATCCTTGCTGCATTAATAATTTTTTTTTTTTATCTTATTGACCCTAAATTTTTGAACGGTAGCATATATTGCATTGTTTTGTTAAAATAACCATGTCAACTTTTTACAAATTTACAAACTCAGTGCCTCAAATACACTTCAAAATTGAGCATATGATTTTTGTATAAAAGTGGGCCTGTACAAACAAGCGTGCAGAGTGAGTTACAGTTCCTCTCACCTCTCTGATTGTCTCCCTGGCTCGTCCCGAGTGCGAGGTCTGGAACATGCTCAGAATGGACCTCTTGATGTTGAGAGTCCACACCTGCTCAGCCTCCTGTGGGCAGAGCTTTGTGACCTTTCCCCCCTCGAGCCAGAACCGCAGGGGGTTCTTCTCCAATGACTCTCTGAGAAATCAAAACACCAGATGGACCTTCAACCTCTTAACACTCATGACAGACTAACTCTCTACAGCAGCAATAGAGTGATTATAGTGATGTGGCATCAACTGAAGTATTATGTTATTTCAAATGTTTGTCACTACATGATTAATTCTGACACTTTGAACCAGATATAAAATTACATGACTATGGAATTAGTTTGTATTAATTGGATGCAAACACAGAAAATGTTAGAAGAGTGTGAGTGAGTGTAGCACATCAAAAGAAACTTAAATTACCTTATATTCTTCAAGCGTAGCACCGAATTGTCTCTTTTCGGAGAGCTATGCTTTATTTGTATGTTCCTTAGCTACATATAAATAAATATAGCAAATATGGAATAAATGAAACATGATTGCAAAAATAAAAAAATGAATCTAGGTATAGGCATATATGAATACTGGCTGTTATCTGAAATGGAATCGAATGCCTCAATTTTTATCTCAATGGTGAAATATTATATTATGCTTGTTATGAAAAATGTTGCATTGTAAAGGAAGAAAAGCTATATCAATATGGATGACAAAATGATAACATATATAGAAAGACTGATAGAACAGAACATACCTTTAATATAATTTCTGGACATCCTGGTCGGACATCAATGTCAACAACACAGTCCAAAGCTAACTGACTGCCTCCTGATGAAGGACCTTTCCAGGCACTGTTTATGGTTGTACTGTATCTATATGTGTGCCTTTGCCCTTTCTGCACAGCTGTAAACATAAGTCAGATATATATTTATATGTGTTGAGCCCAGAAGTGATCTAAATTGGAGAAAACCTCTATTTGGGCATGTCCTTAATTGTAAAAATTATATGTAAATAAAGTTATTTATTTGTTCATTAATTCATACATGTATTCCTTTTCTCTCTCATTTATGCATTTTTGCAATATATTTTTACAATTTTATAATACGGTTTGTACAGTAGAAAAACCATTACGCCTATGGAGAGTCCCCATAAACCATAAAAACAAACCTGTGTGTGTGTATGTGTGTGGAATATCCATATAAATATGGATGGATGAATAGCAAAAAATATATTTATTAACATGTATATACTCTTACCAGGGCAAGTAGACTTGCAACGTTGATCTTGGTGCAGTTTGTGGCAGTCAGCTTGTAAAAGAAAACATTAACAAGTTAAAAACAGTCATTCACTATAGAAGTTCTAACACTTATGCAAAACTTTGTGGCGAAACAAACATTTACTTACTTAGAATTCTATATTTTCTCCTAATAATCAAGGGGGGATATTAAAGAATATGATATTAAATACTTACCACTGAAAAAGATTAGCAACATTATTAGACAGAGATCTTGGAGCACTAGACAGACCGGAGACATAGCCATAAGTGATTGGATTCAAAGTAATGCCTTGCACTTCATAGGAGAGACCATTACCAAGCATAAGCACATAAGCGAATGGATAGATGTTGAGTTAAGCCTTTGTAAAAACCCACTGGACACTAAGACACCAATCAGAGGACAGATGCCCACCAGGGGACCATCCAGCTAACAAAATCTTGCAGCATACCGATGGACATCTTGAACTGAGCCTCTGCCTTCTCATAACATGCTCATGAATTTGCAAGAAATTTCTAGGGCCTTTGTTAATGTCATTTGTTTCATAACATTAATTGCATCACATGTGTACTTTTAAATCCTCCAAAAATTTGCGTCATTCACTTCCATTGTAAGTTTATACTTTTTTAGCAAGTAAAAGGCCTTTTGTAAAAATGTTCACCTTCAGATTGTGATTCATGGGTATTTTTGCTGTGAAATCTTTGATTTTAAGAATAACTTAAATATAGTGCATTGCATTATATGTTTTCCCCCACAATACAAATAATAAGAAAGAACAAAAAAATAAGAAGAAAAAAAACTAAGCATTTAAATATCATCTTACTAAGACATATTATTGCTAGATATAGAGTCACAACTGATATTTATATCTTTAGTCCGTATTACTGTTCTTTACTGCATATTTAGTCTGTTTTACTATAAAGATCTAATTTGCAACCTATCAGAATTTCATCATACTTTTTTGCCCTATAAATATCAGCAACTGCACAAAATTTCATATTTTTGCTCAGTTAGGGCCTCTGAATAAAATTTTCCTCCTCGAGTATGAGCGCCATATTGTCCTATGTCATACTATATGAGCCATGAAGAGTTTGTTGAGTATGATACTCACCAAATAACATGCAAACTTTTTTGTTTATTGTTATTATTATTATTTTGTCTAAAGATAGAATAAACTACATTTTTAAAAATAGGGTTTTTTTGACTAATATTTCATATGTCAGGTTTTACAGGGTTAAATCCCTAAGTATGAGCGATAGTAAGAAGTTTAAATGGTGTCTATACATTAGACACAAGTTCATTGAGGACGTTTGATGAAAAGAAAGACCTGTCTGCACTCTCAAGTACATTTTACTGGCACCATCTGCTGGGCTAGCTGTGCAGTTAAGGGTGCCTGGGCGTAAAACAAAAACTTCTTGAGTGCAAGTTAATTAGTATCTTTTTTTCTTGGTCCCATTCCTAAAACAAAATAAGTTCAACATAAGAAGCAAAGTTTTAGATATTATACATGTTTAATAGAATATTGTTTTGTAATTGTTTCTAATATTGTGAACCCAACATGTGTGTATGTGTGTGTGGTGTTCATGGTGTCTTACACACCATACATAACACACACAGCACACATAAAGTAACTATGCACCATTCAACCATTCACTGACCTACTAATACTATATTCCATTATTCCTTTCATTTCTCCACAGCACTACCTTTTTTTTCACTGCACCTTTAAGAAGAATGTTGGACAAAAAAAAAAAAAAAGGTCGGAGGCCATCATGTATGATTCACACTTTCACAGCGTCTGTTGGAGCTTTTAGGTTGCCCTACTTTATCTTCAGTGACTGTATATTGCGTGAGCTTGCTGTGTTTTGCATGGCTTATTGCTCTCTGTAAAATACTCCGACGCCAGACTCCATCTGGTCTTTGGAGGAACGATTAAAGGCCTGTATTGATGATGACCTTGGTCTAATCTACTGAGAAGTTCATTGTGCACCAGTTTACAGAAAGTGGATTTTGTATGGAAACTGCAGAAAATTGGAGGATTTATATTTTAGGATTAGAGTGCAACATCATGAAAGATGAATGAGTGTAAATGGGGTGTGTCGTGACCAGTGTTGGGGGTAACGCATTACAAGTAACGCGAGTTACGTAATCAGATTACTTTTTCAAGTAACTAGTAAAGTAACGCATTACTTTTTAATTTACAAGAGAATATCTGAGTTACTTTTTCAAATAAGTAATGCCAGTTACTTTTTTTTTTCCAATTTATTGACTGACAGCATTCCTGTCCCCATGTTGAGAGAAATCAGAAGATGTTACTGTAGTTCTAAAATAGATATGAATATGCATGAATTCATCTCACTCACAAAAAAAAAAAACAGATTCAGTATTCCTCAAAATTAATAAAAATAATACAACTCAGAATATGATGCAAACCTGCAATAATTAAATGTTAAACAACACAAATATCCTTTATGTATTTAATCCCATTCTATTAACCTTAGTTACTTTTTTATGGAGTAACGCAATATTGTAATGCATTACTTTTAAAAGTAACTTTCCCCAACACTGGTTGGTTTCTCTTTGGTCCACGCCCGTAGTGCGCGTCAGTTCCCCACGCGGTGCATGCTGGCGACTGGCGAAATTACGAATCGCACTATGGCAAAGTCAGAGTATTATGAATATCAATTAAGTTGCTTGGTAACCTTCCTGGAGCGTCCTGTCACGCATCTTAATTAATATTCATGAGCTCGTCGTGATTCGTTTATTCGCCTTCTGAGCACCGCCTACTTTCCCACGTCTGCCTTTCAGCCAATCCGTCGAGACGACTGGGAGAACGGCGCATTACGTAATTAATATTCATGAGCTAAGCCTTCTTCGTAGTAGGATTACTAAACCTGCTGCCGGGGGCGTGGCGTGGGCTTTGCCGGTTCTAGCAGCAGACACAATGAAACGAGGGGCAATGTAGGACACCACGTTGGGGCTCGAAACGCAGACACGCCGGTAGCGTATTATTGTTTACTTCTTTTTGGATAGGTTTTAATCGTTTATTTCATTTGTTTTGCTTGTATTTACTGTAGATAGATAGCAGAGGCCGCTGCTGATGAGAACAAAACGAGTTGAAAGTCTTTGGAGAAGAACCGAACGGGCTCAGGAAACGAGGCTCCCCATCATAACTCTTGCTTTGCCGTTAAACGCAGTCGCGTTAAAATGTCGTTCGCCTACTCGGATTATCTGGCCGCCGAGTGTCTGGTGTCGATATCCAGCGGTCCCGTCCTCCATCGACCCACCCCGGTGTCTGGTGCGGCTCAGGCCCCTCCTCAGGGCCTTCCTGCCGCGGAGCCGGACGGGTCGAGCGAGGACAGGGAGGTGCGGGAGACGCTCCGGTTAGAGGGGGCCAACATGATGACGGTGGCGGAGATCCTCACCGACCTGCATGGCAAGTTTCGTCCCATGTCGGCCTACTCCGAAAGCAGCAACTCGTCGTGCGGAGAGAGCGGCTACACCACGTTGTCAGACTCCACCACCCCAACGCCGACCATGACCCCCTCTGCCACCCCTGTCCCGGGACAGTACAATAACACCCCTCAGCAGTTTTGGGGAGGAGGGGGCGCACCCCGGTCCCCCACCAAGCGTCACCCCTGTACTTTCGACGGGTGTGACAGGGTGTACGGCAAATCATCCCACCTGAAGGCGCACTTCAGGACCCACACAGGTAAGCTGAAGCGCGTGGTCTCCAATGCTGCAGATATCATTTGTATTCATACCCGAATATAAGTATATACATACAGAATAGAGTATAAGTACTCTATATATGCGACTATAAGTCCTCTATATATGCGAATTTATAAATACGGTCCAACTTGTATGAAATTATAGTTTTATAAACCGCATGTCGCATTAATTGGTTGTAAAAATTCTCTGTTGAATAAGCATATTATGGAGGGTTTTAACAGTCGGCTGTGTTTTATTAGAGAGAAACTTTTAATTATCGACCGTGTGTTTGTTGACTGTTGTCAGGGGCTCCTGTCAATTCTAACCAACGGCTCTGAATAGAGATATTAAAAGTGAATTTGTGGATAATAATGTAATTCACTACTCGTTAGTTGAACAAAAGAGTGGGAAATCTCCTAGCTGTGGCCTCCGAACAAATAAAGTTTATGAACAAAGGAAGGAGCGCGTGAGGGAGGACCGAGTATAGTATAGTATAGTGACGAGACTCATATTTGCATGTGAACCGAGCACTTTCTGTTATTTGGCTAAAGCTAAAAGAGCTATTTAAGCAACGCACCTGGCCTCTCTTCTTGAGCCGTTCACAAACGGTCTATTACTATTTGGTTTTGTTCATGAATTGAAGTGCAATGTGGAAAAAAGGTGACCGCTTTTAACGGACACGAGTTCAGACGATCCCCTCACGAAAATGAACTATGGTTTTAATATATTAAAAGGTAGTAACCATGTTTTTTTTGGCATATTGACCATTTGTATAACCACAGTTTGACTACAAATACCATTAAACTATAGAGTGTAGCAAAACCGTGGTTACCATTATTTAACTAACCATGTTTTTTTATTTGTAGTAAAACCATGGTTAATTTTCGTAAGGGTTGTAGTACAGTTACTAGTAGTACACCACGCTAAGAAATCTTTAGTACAGTGTACTAATGATATACTAGTACAGTGGCAACTAAACTGATAAACATTAGTGCAGTAGTTCGTACACTCACAGAATAAGTCATCCAGTACAGTACAAATTAAAGGCTAGTACACTAGTGAAACACTAGAGGTGCATTCCATTCAACCATAAGGACCCTGCGATGTTGACTTCACAGGGTGATCTGCCATCTTAAGTGAGATTCCAATCTGAAGAGTACTGGTACTGTCTGTGTCCCACAGTATTACAAGTAGAGTATTATCTCTACAAGTTATGCATATTAATACAAGATATGTCTCCCTTCAAAGAAAAAAAGCGTGGATGTTATTGACTTTCAGTTTTTTCAAGTACATTTTATGTTTTAAATGTTTGTAAGGCCAAATTAGATTGCTTTTGAATTTTCTAAAGTACAGAACAATGGCTATTAATGAAACGTACAATAAATTATTAAATACAGGTCATAGGTCAAATACAGACCTATTGCATGGTAATTATAGCTATAAAACCTATGCCCAACCCTAACCGTACCCCTTAAATAAAATCAACAATTACTCTACAATTTCATGATCAAAATACTTTAAAACTGGGGAAAACGATTTATAGAATATGATAGGTATGCCTTATAACTATAATTTTTTTTGAGTGTGGGTGGCAATTGCGAAGCTAGAAATAAAAGGTAAAGTAGAAGGTATAACCATAGACTGTAAAAAAAACATGGACGTAGTGTCCGTGACGTCACCTGTAGTTTTCTGAAGCGCATTTTTGAAGCCTAAAGTGGGCGGAGCCATCTTGGCAGCGTGCGTCACTCTCGGATAACTGAAAATGGGCAAAGAGGCGGGACGTGGGTGGAGCTGGTTGCTGAAACCACGCCCACCTAGCTTGACGGTGGTGACAGCAGTGGCAGTCCACCTGTCACTCAAGTGGCCACGCCCTTAATTATGCATAACTTTAATGCTTAATATAATCTAAACAGATAAGTTATAAAAAAAATTCACCCCCCTCACAGTTGTCATGAAGGGCAAAATTAGCTTTAAAGACCAAAACCACTTTTTGCACCAGGCTGTAAACATATTTTTTTCTGCTGTAAAGTTGGGCATTTTAACATGGGAGGTCTATGGGATTGACTCCCTTTTGGAGCCAGTCTCTAGTGGCCAGTTGATGAATTGCAGATTAAGTCACTTCCGTGCTGGTTTCAGGAGAGAGACCGGAAGGTTGCAGCTTGGGTACAACATCAGCGATTCCTGGGGGAGGGGCTCTGATGAAATTCCCTAATTGGCTGTTTCGTTACAGGGGGTGTTACTTGCAGGGGTGTGGTTTGTAACACAGTCGGATACTCTTGAATCCGTAGGGCACTGTCAACAGCTTAGGGAAGAAGGGTACATCAATACATCACTTCACAGGAAGTGAAGAGTAGGGTTGAGTACCGAACTCTGTACTCTGAATTGCGTCGGTACCACAGAGTACCGACTAACGTTAAATCAATCGGTGCCAAATTTCGGTACCTGAGAACACATCTGGGTGCATACGCTACAGAGAGAGAAAGAGAGACCCTGTGACGTGATGTCACCCCTGCAACTCGTTCAAACAATACACAGGGCAAGCCGAAATGTTCTGAAGTGTGGTTACATTTCTAAGGGCCTTATGATTTCTGCAAAAACGCGGACGGGATTGAGGAGTCCATTCATATAAACGTAATTTACTCTATAGCGCGGAATGTCACGCAATTCGTCAATTTTGGACGAATAAATCAAAAGTAGCCACTGCCACTTAATTCGAATCGTGATATGAACTAGTGTCTGTGAATATTAAAATGCAAAAAGACGGTTTAAATATGAATCCTTGTTCATGTTCCGCTTGCCTCTGTATGTATGAATGGCGGAAACGCGGTTTTGTTTACTACACAAATACTGAAGCACGCGTGACGCTCGTGGTGATTTTCGGCCTCTGTGTCTATGACGGCATGAACACAAAAACATAATCTCCAGAGCTGCTGTGAGAGTCACTTCACGAGAATTTTACCGTTTCATTTGAGAAAACTAGCATACTGTATAGCCTACACACAGAAACTTCATGGCAACCTGTCAAAATAAAAGTACGGTTTAACATGTAACAGAAATATATTACTCTTGTATTATTTTGTACAGTATAATGTACATCTTTACATATTAAATTTTCTATCAAATTTAAATAAAACAATTAAATGATAAAAAAAATAAATATTACAACCAGATTAATCACTTAATTGTAGAAAAAAATAATACAATTTTTAGCCTATTAAAAAATGTTTTAAACGAATATTCACACAATTTTTCTCTCATGTATTAATTTCAGCAGTAAACCTCAGTTTGTTTGCCAAAAAATAAAAGGGTTTAATTTTCATTTGATTTAAAATAAATGTTTAATGCCTTCATTTGATTTTCAGAAAAATTTAAACAAGAATTTCTGGGGATAAAGAAAAAAAGAATGAAACAAAAAGTTTGTAGGGCCCTATTGTTCAAAATGTTGAAATTGAGACTTTTGGACTTATTTTTTTCACTGAAATAAATGTTTTTGTAATTACACAGAGAGTAAAGTACCGAAAAAAGGTACCGTTGGGTACAGGCACCGAAATTCAGCTACCGATACCGGTACCGTACCGGTTAAAATGTGAACAGTACCCAACCCTAGTGAAGAGGGAAATTTACCCACCTGTCATTGCACATCAACTTTAGCACTTAAAGAAGTTTGAATAAAATAAAGGCAAGTTGAGGCTCTGGAGTTGTTATTGAGTTTAATTAGTCCAAGGTGTGGTTTGTCCACGGTTGTTTACGGGTATAAAGTGCACAAGAGGCAACATTTAATGTAACTATTGTGATTATTGACAAAAGACAAAAAAAGATTGAAAAAAAAAAACATCTAATATAACTAAATTGCACTTATTTTCATATTAAGCATTGCAACAGACCATTATCGTTCAGTTTAGCACTTTAAAATAAGACCATTTATTTTGATTAAATTAATAATAAATTTACATTTATTACATGAACGTATGGTAATTTGGGTTTATTTACATAAGTATTTCATGTTGTCATACCTCAAACACATCTAATATGCACAACTCAAGTTTCGCCTGTATGTGACGACACTGAAATGTGTTCTAAATGACACATTTTTTTTGTCAAGTAAAGTGAACTTCAAAAGATATCCAGTGCTCAGGGAGCAGTGAACACTTCGTAGTGGCCTTGTCAATTGGAACACAGCTTAGAACACAAAAGTTGAGTCCCAAATGATATACTACACTTATACTAAGCACTGTGTACTGTCCAGTTTATGAAATGTATAAAATTATTTTGTCATCCAACATCAGAGTCTGATAGCCCCCACTCCCCCATTCATCAGGTATTTTTTACAGTGTGAACAGAATAGTGGAGAAGTCTGCGTGTACCAGTACTAGGGTTGCAAAGGGGTGGAACATTTCCGGAAGCTTTCCAAAAATCCCTGGAATATTCCAAAAACTTCATCAGATCACAAGACTAAAAGGATTCTCAAGCCGGCTCTGGTTGACGCACGCTGGTCTGAGGTGGCATGAGCGTCAGCAGAGTGCAGGTGGACGACACGCTAGGAAACCGCTCATGGAGCGAGCTGTTACCGTTCCATCCGGGAACCACGGAGGATTCTACAGAGTTGACGCAGCTTGAATCAGTGTCAGAACCTGGACAAAGTCCTAGACATAGTTTCTGAAGAACCAAATGGAATTTCCTTCTAAAGCTATGGTTGATCCAGAAGTAGAAGATACAATTGAGGAAGCCATTGGAGGTTGGTAACCACACAGCAATAAACTCGATCCATTCGGGGACACCAATGCCGGAAATCGCTGTGAACAAGGAAAGCATGCTTTAGGACTTATTCTTTCTTTAACATATTAGCATCATGGTAATACCTACTAAATAAATGACATGCATTTCCAAAGTAACATCTAATCCAGACAGCCTATGTAAGAAATAACTAGGGTTGCAAAAGGGTGGAAAATTTCCGGTAAATTACCGGAAACTTTACAAAAATCCCTGGAATATTCCAAAAAATCCTGGAAAGTTTCCCAAATTTCTGGAATGTTTCCGAAATGTACTGGAAATTTTGAGATGGTCTTCACTGCAGAACACAAGGGGGTGTGGTTGGATCCAGATCCAACTCCTCCCAACTTACATACAGTGGGTACGGAAAGTATTCAGCCTCTGATCCCTAAACCCACCCATCTCCACCCCCTGGATGCATCTTGTGTACTGCAGTGAGGGGCTACTGTTAAAATCCAAAAGCAGTATATGAGCAGGTGACATGATGTGTATTTTTATGTTTATTCACAGAAAACACCACTATTTTTGTTTTCTTTTATATTTTGATAATTTGGCTAATCTCCACCCCCTAGATGTGGATCCAACCACGCCCCCTGGATCTTGTGTTCTGCAGTGAGGGGCTACTGGAAATTTTCCACCTTTTTGCAACCCTAACCAGTACAGTGGTATTAGTGTTGTCAAAAGTACAGATGGTGGTAGTGAAATGTTAAAATTGTGACGATAACAGCATTTCCCGCTAGCATTTTGAGCACTTTTAAGCGAATTCTTAAATGCCTCTGATTGGCCAATGTGTTCACGCGCTCAACAGATATGTCTGTGATTGGCTACAATGATCATCGCTTCAGGCTCTACACAGAGCGCTTACGCAGATACACACGGGAGTGTTTGAAAGCCGCGTCTATCAGCTGATCCGTCTATGAGCAGATATATTATTGACAACACTAAGTGGTATACTTTCTAGTACATTGAAAAACACTAGTGTTTGTTAACTCACAAAGCAATAGCTACTATGCTAATGAAAAATTAGTACAGTAGTAAGTACTCTACGGAAGACTAGTAAAGTTGCTGTCTGAGGTTCATCAATTATATCTTTATATCTAAAACGGTAGATAGTGCAGGTGCCAAGCCATTGCCGACTTTTATAGTGCGCTTGTGTATTTCATACAAAATGTCATCTCATGAGTTGTGGATCGTTCATGTTTTCTGTCTAGGTGAGAGGCCCTTTCCGTGCACCTGGCCCGACTGCGAAAAGAAGTTCGCCCGTTCCGATGAGTTGGCCCGACACCTGCGTACCCACACCGGCGAGAAACGCTTTCTGTGCCCACTCTGCGACAAGCGCTTCATGCGCAGCGACCACCTCATCAAGCACGCCCGCCGGCACCCCAGCTTCCACCCCTCCATGATCAACCGCAAAGGTTCGGCTCAGGGATCCGCCTCGACCCAGTCCACCACCGCCGCCACCTCGTCCTCAGAGTACACCAGCACTGCCATGTAGACGCCCCATCACCGGGACCCCCGCCTTCTGCACTGTGACCACCGTCTCTGTCAGACACCGCAGCTTGACTCGATCGCCGTGCATGCTGGGATCCTTTTAAGCTCAGTCTTCACTTCCACAGGCCAAAAATTAAGAACTTCACCATGTCTTCCTCCGAACCCCTTCGCCCAACCAGTGACGACCAAAACGGGCGAAGGAGACTCAAACGCTCAAGCACATTCCCGAGTCGCGTGATTAAATGATCACATGGCCGACAAGTGATGCCGAACGCAACACTGGTCTTAAATTGCTTGGGTTGGGTGGAATAGATTTTTCTGAAATACTGTAAAACACTTTTTTGGATACATGCGAACAAAATGGCCATCAGCGGTAGCACAATATTTTCCATCGGCCATCTTGTTGTATCACTTGTCAGCCATGTTTTCGAATCTCCGAAAGGATGCGTCACAGTTTAAGGGAAAGTTTACTCGTTCTTTGTCTTTTTACAGTCGTTCCATCAATCGTCAGAGACTTCACACAACCTTTGTCATGTCTTTTTTGTACAAACCCTCTCTGGTTTTGCTTGTCCACACATGCTGTGGAACGCAATAACCAGATACATTTTCACAATCATCACAAAGTTTTTGTGTGTTACTCATGAATTTGTCACGTGCCGTGACTTTATGCATTCTTAAACCTCGTTGGCTTTGCTAAACCTTTAAGTTGTGATGTCAAGTTCATCCTTAAATGAATATGATTCTTGACACTCTTCGAAACCAAACAACGATCAAATCAAAACGGCCAGTGAGTTCCTTCTAGCTAGAAGCACTGCCTCTAATGCCGCATTTCCACATAGCTTTCCCTACTGAAATTGTAATAAGTTATTGTCATCTTAATTTACTTTTGTGCCTATTTCCTTTTTTTTCCCATTAGTAATATCAGCATGGCAAGTACAATAGTAGTTTTTTTATTAATTAATATTATTAGACCATGCATTTATTATTATTATTTTCCGCTTTTGTTTGTCCATGTAATGTTGACATGTTGGTTTAATAGTAATGTGGATACGTGTAGATAAATATCTATGCTTGCAGCTTCAATGGTAAAGATGTTATAATATGAACTACTAGAAGTAATACACCTTATGTTAGGGGTGACAGTACACGCTTGAATAGAATAGTACTGCTTGTGTGCGAATGTTTCCGCGTCGCGTTTGTATGTGTGTATATTCACGCGGGAGAGCCCGGGAAACGATTTCTCTCCAAAACTGTCCCGCCCTGCGGACCTCTTACAACTATCTCAGAGAACCAAAAAACACATCAGGAAACTCAGAACGCCTTAAAATCCTTTGACTTGTTTTGCACCATTGTTTACGGTTGGATATTTTCTACAGGTATGCTGTCAGGCGTCGTTCTTCTCAACTAAAGAAATACACATGCAATATTGCACTTTTTTTCTTACTGGTATTGTTAACGATGCTAGTCGTCTGCTAGTGTGATGGGTTTCACTGTATACATGCTACTGCATAGTGCTCAACTAAACCAACACTGTGGAAGGGGATAAAGACCTGTCACAATAAATCAATACATTCGTCTAAACGTGCACCTTCGTGTGAGGAAAATGGACTTGATTTTTGTGACTTTTGTGTCACTTTTGTTTGTATTTTGCTTTACATTTGGAGTGCAACAGATACGAAATATCTGATCGCAGTTTGTCTGGTATCAAAACTACAGCTGTTTTTTAATGGTTCATTGTACCATTTTCGAATCCTGCAATATTCAGAGTGCTTTAAGTAACTGCTGGCAGTAACCTAAAGCGCGATGACAACTGATAAGATCTCAACCACTATAACAAACCGAACCAGAATAGTATATAAGACTCTGTGTTTGTTCTGTAGCTAATGAAATGTTTTATGTTTGGCCGGGACTTTCTTTTAGTAGTTGTTTTCCTGTAGCGAGTCGTCTGGATCTGCTGACCGATCAACGGTACACTGTGTTAGGCTGCGGTGGGCTTTGTGTGTGATTCTCGATTGACTGACACCTTTGTGATTGTGTCTTTTGATTTTTTCCCCTCACAATGCCCTCTTTTAGCAGTCCGGATTCAACTTTGCATTTGATACCCCTCCCATTATACACGACACATTTGCAGCTAGTAGTCTGGACAGCCATCACAAACCACTGGATCAAGTATTTCTTTTTCTTTTTTTCCCCCCACGCACTACTGTTTGTGTGTTTTGTGGTCTTTTAATTTCAGTTATTATTTTTTTGTATTTGGTTTGATGTACTGGAAATTGTAGTTTCTTATGCTTTGTATTGGTTTACGTACTGTAGATGTCTATATAGTATGCAAAACATAGTTTATGATAGCTTAGCAATCGTATAGCGGAGAAAATGCATATTCTATAGTTCCTTCGGGAAAAATGCTACATCATTTGCTGTGTTCGAGGCATCCGATCTCTGTGGGTCAAACTCAAGTGAATTAAGATGTGTGTGTGACCGCGGCTGCTTTTAATCATGATGCGAATATGTATTGAGAATATGTAGAGTGATGACTTTATATTGAGAACTGCTTTGTTGCTTGGCGTACAATCTAGATCTTGTCCATCAGTTTTGACACACTAAAATGATTATGCACTGATTGGCAGATTGTCGTGTAGTGATCACACTAAAGCATGTCTAATGAGATCTCCTGAGGTCTCAGTCTACAGACATGTCTCATAACAGTGAACCGATGGGTTTTGTCAATACAAATACTTCCATGTATCTCCTCAGGTGATAACACATAATGCTGAAATCCTCTGTCCATGAGTAGGACCTAATGTTAAGCATTCTTTTAATTTGCTTTGTTTTGCATTATTCTGCAATTAATTTTTTATTTATTACATGCTTTTGTTTTGATGGGCTTTAACATATCTTTTTTAGTACTTATTTTATGGAATGAGACTTGACTAATTGATTTGATTCATTGTTTGCCTCCAACAAAAACAAACAAAAAACCTTCCAGTGCTTTTTAAAAAAAGAAATAAATGGATTAAGAATTATTTTGTGTTTTGTTTTTTATTACCTTTATATGAGAATGCTTAGATATTATTATGTGATTGTAATAGTTTTCTTTAGCTCATCATATCAAATCTCCTCAAGTACATACTGGACACAAAAAGGTCATTTAATTTGATCAAGCTGTGTATTGCAGTGTGACATGCTGTACTTCATCTAAAATATTTTTTCTAATTCTAAACTAATTATTATGCATTCAGTTTTTATGACCTAATTGATTGAAATACTACATTCTAATTTAATACAACATTTTATGTTATTGGAATTTTACACATACTTTATATAAATATATATATATATATATATATATATATATATATCTTTATACAAATATATAATTATTTTATACATACATTATATAGGCATAATTTAAATTAAAAATATATATATTTTAGAATTTCTTAAGTGTTTGGTTTGTTGTAACATTCCTATAATAACAGCAGCATTTAAGCCACATGTTTTCCAGCATGATTTAACAAAAATCCAACGAATGTCTATCTGTGCAAAGAGTGAACATGATCGATGTCACAAATTTGCATTTTTAATTAGTGACCTGAAATGTTTTATTTTCTGTCACATTTTCTTGTAATAAAAAAAAAATCAGAATCCAGATTTTTCAACCCCACTGCCTGTAGACAAAAACTCCTCTGTGTGTTAATAAATTTAGCATAGTACATTAAAAAAAAAAAAAAGACTAAACTTCTTTTTAGAAGCATATTCCATGAATCCATTTTGAGAGTAATTTTCACTTAACTATATTAGCATTTATTTTATCATCCTTGATCAAAATGTGGAAAAAAAATCACATGTATTTTGTATTGTATCTGGTCGTCTTGTACATGTTCAGTGTTCCTCACTAGCTTACATTAGTGTGCTAATAATTGGTACAGATGCTTAGCTAGCTGTATCACTATCATTCACAAAATCCGGAATGACTCCACGTCCATGGTTCTTTCCTTGAGCTGTCATCTGATTACCTTTTCTTAAGATGTTTGACATGTTCTTTATTAATTCTGTAAGAGCTTAATCAGAGTTCGTCTCTCGGGCTGCTCTCAGAGATGGGCGTTGGGCTCTTAGCACCACGACTGCGGTCTCCACGGATGTGATGGCGGGCCCAGTCAGTAGCCACAGTCTCATCGTCCCAGATGCTGGAGGTCTCGGTGTCGCTGAAATACCCTGGTTCCCCAGTGTAGTGCGTGCGAAAGAGCAGCAGGGGTTATACAGAGAAAGCTTTCAAGTCTCTCCGTTTAAAATGAGACATGTATTCGTCCCTACAGAAGGAATACTAGAGTTAGTTAAACGAAAAATCCTTTTTTTAAAGTCATTATTGTAAGTGCAACTCTTCATAAATGTGATCAAATATATCTCAATGAAAATGCATGACGTGTTTTAATCCAGGTCTTCTGAGGAGACATGACCACTTTATATGATTAATACATTTAAGTCAGGGACAATGTACATCCAGCCGTTTGTTATCTCCGAATAAACCCCGACAGTCTTGTAGCAGCCTGAAGGGGTTTATTCTGAGATAACAACCGGCTGGATGTACATTATCCCGTTTATTACACGGCTAAACAGATTTGTTTTTACCATATATGTTGAAATTAATGCTGAAGTCTTCCATTGTAACACACGGTGGTTAAGTGTTTTCAGTCACAAGATGGCGCCAGACAGTCAACGATAGCGGAGTGACTCGTTAAGCTTATAAGTAGTACCGGTCAAGAAAACTCGTAGTACCCGGATGAGCGGTGTGTTATTCAATTTGGCAGTTGTTATCTGGGAATAACATACCGCTGGATGGCGCGATTGACCAATCAGAATCAAGTATTCCACAGAGCCGTGTAATAACATTGATGGACGCACATATGTACCCTACCGGTCTTATATTAAAAGTATTATATTATATATTAAAATAGAGGTTATTTTAAAATGTAAAAATATTTCACAATATCACTGTTTTAATGTATTTTTGATCAAAATAAATGCAGCCTGTGAGCATTAGAACCACCTTTCAAAAACATGTAAAATGTAATTACTCCAAACTTTTGCAATATAGTGGACATAGAGCACATCGAATACGATAAATTAGGTTTGTTCTTACTTGTCAAGCAAGTACGGTTGAGCTTCTGTTTACCATATTTGATGTGCTCCATGATGTGCTCCACATCTAAATGTGTTCATCATATAAAGCGATTGTGTCTCTTCAGAAGACTTGGATTAAACCAATGAATCGTACAGATTACTTTTACAATCTCCTTATGAACGTTTTGAAGCATTAATGTTTTGGTAAAATTGATTTTAATGGAGGGATAGAAAAATCTCTCAGGATTTATTCAAAATATCTTTATTTGTGCTTAAAAATAAAAAAGTCTTACGAGTTTGGAATGACATGATGGCGAATAATTTATGACAATTTTCATTTTTAGGTGACCTGTCCCATTAAAAATGTTAATTACCAACATCTACCAACACTTACTTGTGGTGCTTATTAAACATGACTTGCAGAAACTCATCCACAGGCAGCATCTTGCTGAGCGGCTGGGCCTCCAGAAGCGTCTTTGCCCCCCTGCAGGGAAAGGACATAGCCAAGTGTCCAATAAGAGTAATCTGGAATCACCAGGTTCTTCACTCCCTCCAACCAGTGCTCTGGATGCTTAATTTGCAATCGTTTATGCCTTATATAGCTTAAAGAGAAGAGAATGGGTATACATGCAAAGACCAGCGACCTCTTTGTGGAAGCTATAGTGATGGATCCATATGAAGACTCAAAGCAAAAGAGAGAACTGTCAAGTTCTCATGATCATAATAAAACCACAACTCTCATTAAGTCCCACTGGAGGCCTGATTGTTTCACATCCTCCATGATGGCGTTCAGGCGGCTCTTGAAGTTGGGTTCACCTGCTGTTGCTGGAGCTCCACCACCTGAGGGCGAAATGCAACAAAAAAAGGCATGTGCATAAAATGACTCATTTAGTGTTTACAGAATTGAAAGTCACTTTACATTCATATTATACTCTTACAAATAGAGGGTCCAAAAGGGGGGTTTGTCAGCGATGCCATGGAAGAACCATTTTTTGTTCCCCAAAGAACCTTTTAGTGAACAGTTCTTAAAAGAACCATTTTTTCCCCATAGTTAGCACACAATCAGAGTTAGGATCTTTATAACCAGGGAGCATCTCAATTCCTAAAGCTCTTAGCTGAGCTGAATTCAGGGCTCTAATAGAGAGGAGAAACAGGAAGGAGTCATATTTGACTGTGGCATGTGGTGTCATAGAGATATATACTTTACAAAGAGAAGGACAGTTTAAGGACATTTGACATTGTGTATCATACTTGCCATCCACCGCATCGATGAGGGTGACGTCTATACCCAGCAACTCCAATGAGCGCAGCATGCGATCTTCTCGACGCTTTAGATTAATCAAATAGACCTTAAAAAAGGGGAAGATACGAGTATTACATTGAAACAGATTGAAGATGCAACTTTTTGCAATATGCTACATTTAGTTGTCAATATCTATACCTGATTAAATGCCATGGTGTCTTTGGGTTTGGAAGCAATGTGCAGATAATGCGAAATGTCCATTTTGAAGTCAACTGAGAAAGATAAATGTAAGATTATTTGTCTCTTAACCACAAGGAAACATTTTCTGGTAGAAAGAGGATCATTGTAATTAAAGGAATTAATGATTGGTGTTAGTGAATTATTTAAAGAAAGTTGTGATTAGAAATTGGTTTTGATTGGATAATATATTTTGAATTATAATTCAACTGCGTTTAATTAAAAAATGTACGAATTTTAACTGACGGTCCAGTTGTTTACATGGTTAATCAATTGTTTACTTCCCATTTGAATGTGATTGAGCACTTAACGCTTTCACTGGTTCTGGTCACAAAATGGTTGCTATTAGGTCCACTGTGGTGGTTTTTAAAGGGATCATATGATGCGATTTCAAGTTTTCCTTTCTCTTTGGAGTGTTACAAGATGTTCGTGAATAGATAAGATCCCTAAAGTTGCAAAGACTAAAGTCTCAAACCCAAAGAGATATTCTTTATAAAAGTTAAGACTGGTCCACGCCCTCCTAAAACGCCTCATTTAAACACGCCCCCACATGTCTACATCACTGTGTGGGAAGATTTGCATAACGCCGCCCAAATGTTCACGCAAAGAAAGAAGGTGTAACTTAAACTTTACTGTTGCTGCCACCGCCGCCGCCATGCTGTGAAGACGCTGTGTGTATGAGCTTTGTAAAAATCGACATTTCAGAAAGGCGGGGCATAGAGGAGAAACAATAATGTACAGTATGTGGAAAATAATGTGTTTATTGAACCTTAAACCGCATAAACACATTGCATTACACCAAATACACAAAATAATGTTCTTTTTAGCAACGTCATATGACCCCTTTAACTGCCACATCCTTCAATAACTGCCTCTCTGGGGGGAAATGTGTTAAATTGTGATAGAACCACAAATCAGCCTGTGCAAAAACAAAAACAAATTGTTAGGATCAGGTTGAAACAATCAGGTATCTTTTGTGAGAAATAAACTTAAGTCATGCAGAGCTGTAGGTGCTAAACACAGTGGGAACAGTACAAGATTTATGGTGATTTTATTGCTAATTTTATTGCTTTTATTGTTAGTTCTTCTGGTGTTAGTTCAATAAATGATCTTCTGGATTGGGGATGAAGTTTTGAGCTCTGAACTTTACACTGTGTTTTCATGGTACAATGAATTCTTATAACATGCAGATTTCAAAACAAAGTCAAGCTAATCTAATGACTGGGTCAGAGAGAGAACGTGTGAGATATGTCACAAAGGAGTGAAAATTCTCTCTTTCCTGGGAAAACTATATGGAAAGGCATACAGTGAAGTGTTTGTGGTAGAGGTAGAACAGAAAGTGGTGAATAGATGCCCACACCTCTGCTTCACAGTTTATTCACTCACAATAGTATTGTATTTAACATCACCTCAGAA